CAACTATGCAACTGGGGTAACCAATTATTCAGCAACTAGACATATGTCTGATTACACCAAATGTGTTATTGTCAATTTTGGGTAAAGATTTCATCCTCAATAGATTGTAGGTTAACACGATTACACCTGGAGGCAAATGTTAAAAAAGCCTAAGTAAGAAGCATATTCCTTTAACACAATTATCTGATAGGGAGGATCAGCGATATCGTCAGAATTCGTGGGTAGTGGTCAGCGAAATACGAATTTTTTTCGAGGGCGCTGCAGAAATATAAGCGTCGGACGTTAACTGATGCCTGACTGTGTGTATATATATATATATATATATATATATATATATATATATATATATATATATATATATATATATATATATATATATATATATATATATATATATATATATATATATATATATATATATATATATATATATATATATATATATATATATATATATATATATATAATCGTTCTTGGAAACATGATGTTAACGAAATGGAGGCGTTGTCGAAAATTACATGAAACCTCTTGGGATTTATTATAAATAGTGGTTCAGGCACCCAACCCCCAGAGTTTCCCATTTTACGACCATTTAGACCCACTAAATATATATATAATGTTATGGTAAATATCAACAACTTACATAGCATTCTAGGTTTATTACAAAAGTGATGGCAGAGGATATGATCAATACTGCAGTGGGTAGTCACAAAACATGTAGCTATGTCTCTCTTTTATTTGAGTCCGTCAAAGAGTCGTTTTCTCTCTCTTGAGCCACAGAATTTGAAATTGCAACCCCAATTGCAACTGGGGTTGCAATTGTTGAGGCAACTAGATATGTCTGATTACAGCAAATGTGTTATTGTCAATTTGTAGGTGAAAGATTTTATCCTCAGTAGATGTAGGTTAACATTTCACCTGTAGGCAAATGCTTAAAAAAAGCCTAAGTAAGGAAGCATATTCCTTTAACACATAATATCTGACCAGTATGGGGAGGATCATCGTGTCTCCGTCAGGGGGTCGTGGAGTGGTGGTCCAGCAGGCGTAACATTTTTTTTTGGGGGGGGGAGGGTTGGTTACGGACGTATATGCAATCGGACGTTGTTCGGTCGGACGTTAACCGGCGCATGACTTATATATATGTGCAGGTACACCCACTAAAAAATTATTCTGCATCCTTACGGCCTGATACAATATGACAACACTGGTGCCGAATAATTTTATAGTGAGTGTACATACTGTGATTTATGTTTTGAGTGATGGGTCAAACAGATAATCTTCTTCAATCTCATCAAGAACAGTTGAAAGATTCTCAAACACGGCAACAATTCCTGCATTGATTTTCCTTTGCCAATTCTTGAGCTTGGCAAGAAATGGACAAAGGCAATCCATGAGGGGAAACACCTCTCTTTCTTTGCCTTGCAGCTTGAGATTCGGCCTGTTTAACTGCTCAAATATATCTGCTTGGTATGCAAGATGTGGCTCCCACAACACCTCATTGAAATGACTTAAGAGGTCATCCTTCCCTTACACTTCCAGGAATAAGTAAGCTCCTGAAGTTCGAACACTCGATTCACATTATTACCTGTGGAAAGCCATCGCACGTTGGAGTAAAAGAGGAGGGTTTCATGCTCTGAATCCATGCCTCTACAGAGGTTCTGGAAAAGGCGAGAGTTCAAATCTCCTGCTTTCACAAAGTTGATGCATTTTACCACTGCCTCCAGGATCTTGCAAAGGGCATCAGGGAGGGTTTTTGACACCAGTGCAAAACGATGAATCATACACTGAACCCTTTGGCATTCGGAGTTACTTCCTGGATATGCTTCTGGAACCTCGATCCCAGTATCGCCGGAGCCCTATCAGTACAGACTCCACAACAATTTTCCCAGGTGATCCCCTTAGCTGTGAAGGAAGAATACAGCTTTTCCATCACATCTAAAGCTGTTGTGGTAGTTTCAAGCTGTGTACAGAACAGATACTCATCTTTGACATTGCATGAGAAAACATACCTAACAAACACGAGCAGCTGTGCACAATAACTAACGTCCTTTGACTCCTCCAGCTGTATTGCAAACATATGGTTGGAGACGATTTGTTCCTTTATGTCATCCGACATTTCACTAATTCGCCGTTTCACCATGTGGTTTGACAAGGAAATCTGCTGCATCTTGCGTTCACTTGACTCTCCACGAACCCGCTTGACCATCTTTAAAGTACAGGTACACGGCTTAATTAAAGTTTCACCAATTGTGTGGGCCTCCTTCTGCTTTACTATTTTGAGGGAGACCTCATATGATTCCTCAACTACAGAACACTCAAGGACTGTTGTTGGAAAGCACCACTCTTATCCAGTTTCTCTTTTCCCAAATTTCGTTCATGGTGCTTGAAGAAATTCCCCACATTTTCTTGAAACATTACAACTTATAATATCCCACCATGGCCCCCCAAAAATCTTGCTGTGGTCCCCAGGTTGAGAACCACTGAAATATATAATATAAACTAATGTGCATTAATGTATTATATGGTAGTATTTAACATATAGTGTATGGTGACAGGGTAACAAGGTTCGACGGGAAGGAAGAAACAAGGAACGATATGAGAGACGTATTCTGGACGAGCTGATGAAGATGTTCAATGACTCCGACTCCTTTTATTATTCGTGTGAAGCAGATCTAACAAGCTCTCTGCAGCACCAGAGTGATCCCTCCTATGATGCTAGTCTGCCACTCTGGCGTAGAGCTGATGATAACTTCTTCTGGAATAAACACATGCTTATGGATCTTATTGATCAGGAGGTGAGGAATATTTAACTATATTTGTCAACACTCATCCTAGAACACTTGTAGTAAGTAATATCATCTACATATGTGGAACTTTTGTATCAAACAACATAAGGAAAGAACAAAAACAATATTAAATAATACAAAATATTGTATGGAGAATTAAATACTGTAGAACCAAAAGAGAATGCTGTCTATAGTGAATAATAACCCAGACTCCAGCCATGTCAGTATTATTTTTTCCAATAAACTGTGTCAGTCTATAGCGTCAAGACTACCCTGTCTTTACACATAATTATATTCAGTAAACCCTCGGAAGATTCCGACTAAAATTTGGGGGTTCTTGGCTAAGAAGCATTCCCAAAACAGAGAAAAGAAAATTTTTGGCCTGTGGGCGCTGGTTGACCGGTAGGTGGGAAACAAACAGTTATCGTAGGTAAATGAATGGTTTATATAATTTGTTTACCACTGGGCCCATCACTGATTTCAAATTAGACGACAAGATATGTATTTCTCCCATACGTATATCAATCGTATGCCTGACAAGGCGTGTGGGTGAGAGGAGTGAGTCATGTGGCTGCTAATTAATGCATCGTGTGTGCTTAACTCTCCTCCTTCCCTGCCATATTTCACTGGATTTACTTTTATTATTAGTATTTACTGATATAATAATGTTTAATAGTAATTTAACATGGCACTGTAGCCAAGTTAGTCTTGTCACTGTAACCACCAGGCTACTGGGCCAAGATGTGAGGTGTTATGGCTGTTTTTCGACTCATGTTTTCGGGTAGATTTATGTAACTTTCTTAATTTATTTTGACTCATTTACATGCACACACTATCCTAAATACACACTGTGAAAAAGTAAAAGAAATAATTGACCTAAGGACAAACCTGTATTCAAATGTACTAAATTAATTACTAAAATTTTTATGTCTAGTGTAAACTGAGTAAATATTGATATATCTATAGGTTATCTATGTTTTATAATTGATAAGATGACAAGAATAACCTTGACTATTGGCAGATACCAAATTTGGATATATGGATTGTACCAGTGATACAAGGCTATGTCCAGACAGAGGCTGTGCCCCTTGATGCAACAGTATCTTCCCCAGATGATTCCATGGACAAACAAGTAAGTGTTCATTGTATGCTGCTTGACCGTTGAAGTTATACTATGTATGGTTAGGAATGCTAGGAATGCTTAGCCATTTTCTTTTCTTCAGCAATGATCTCAGATAATATACAGTGGGGTATGCTATAACGAACGGATCCTACTACGAATATTCCTATAACGAACGGTTTTACCTATAAAATTGAGAATGCTATAACGAACGCAACTCCTACAACGAACGCGGATGAATACGGGACTATTTCGCCTGGCGCATGAATATTGTTGTACCGCGACCCACAACAAGAGCGTCAGGCGCCATCTTTGTCTCATTGTGTAGCCAGTGCACCACTGTTATTGTTGAAATTTCGTCTTTTGATGTGGAAATTCGCGTTATTTGTATAACTATTTTGTTATACAAGTATACAATTGTAACAATGAGTCGTCCAAAGCGAGTGAGAAAGCTAATAACCCTTGAAACTAAGAAAGAAATTATAAAGAAACGTGAGAATGGAAGAAGCATTGCGAAACTTAGTGATGAATATGGGATGGCTAAATCGACTATATGTACGATTTTGAAGAATAAAGGGGAGTTAAAAACTGTGCAAGTGGCAAAGGGAATCTTTAGACTTAGCAAAGCAAAGTGTAATGTGATTGAAGAGATGGAAAATTTACTCTTAGTGTGGATAAAGGAGAAAGAAATGGCAGGTGGTAACATTAGTGAAGCTATAACTTGTGAGAAGGCTAAACAATTGTTTGAGGACCTTAAAGCCAAGACTCCCAGTGGAAGTGATAGTGATGTGCCAGTGTTTAGGGGTACCTGCATGCTGAATAACACTAAGGTAAGATAAAGTACCGTATTTTTTACATTTTCCACAGAATTTTTTCAGTGTTAGGTGGTTGTATTTGGGGGCCTGGAACGGATTAATCCTATAACGAACGAATGCTATAACGAACGAGGTTCTGGAACCAATTACGTTCGTTATAGCATACCCCACTGTACTCGTATATTATGAATGCCTCTTGCCACATCACCACCCACCCACCATAAGCGACCTGCACTACTCATTACCATCCACCATGTGTGGCTGCCACCATGTACCACCACCCTATCTCCTTAAGTTGTACAGTGGCCCCTCGGTTAACGAACACAATTTGTTCCACAGAGTCGTTCGTTAACCGAAAATTTCGTTAACCGAATCCATTGTTTCAATGGGATATTGGGTAATTGGTTCCAGCTCACCGAAAATTTCGTTAACCGAATCCATTGTTTCAATGGGATATTGGGTAATTGGTTCCAGCTCACAGAAAAGTACTTACAAAGTAAAAAAAAATGCAATTAAGTACACTTACTTTGAGGTGTGTATGTAGAAGGTTCCTGGATGATGATGATGATGGAAATTAGAAGTGGGGGTGGAGGAGAAGGGAGAAGAGAAGGAAGTTGGGGATGGAGGAGAAATCACCTTTCAGGGGACTCATGCTTGATGCAGTAATTTCACCAATAAAATTTTAAGTTCACTGGGTGTAATTCAAGATTATTTTACTTAAATCAACACTGCACTGTGCTATATATTATCAATATGTTAACTAAATTTTGTAATGACCAATAATTTTAATGTAAAAATGCAAAAATATTCAAGACACCAACAAAATCGATGTTCAATAATTTTAATGTAAAAATGCAAAAATATTCAAGACACCAACAAAATCGATGTTCACTCCACTGTAAACAAAGCCAAACTGATGCCTGGTGGGTGAGTCAAGCGGCTGATGGGCGCACAAAAAACTACCATATTTTTCGGCTTGAAAGACAATTTTTCTGAAAAAATATGCCTTGAAAATTACCGTGCATCTTCCAGGACGCTAGTTGATAGAGGTTTTCTTAGGGTTAACTGAAATCAGCCCCTTACAAAGACTGTTACCTCATTACAGTACTTAACAATTACAAGTATTCTCTATACAGTACTGTCGCGATCCCAATATCCTTTATACCTGGGGAGTGAAACCTACCCCAAGTTATTATCAAATAAAGGAACAAATAGACAACACGGCAATAATTATCCCCACAAAAACCTACTCAACTAAATGTACTTGAATAAGTAAGAACAGTTGAAATAAGTAAGTCACAAAAAGGAAGATAATTAATTAATTCAATTTATGTTCTAAAGGGAGTAATGACTAGCAAACAAGAATTTAAGGGAATAAGTGATTATATATTAAAATAAGAGTGATGCCGGAAGGGTGAAAATATACCGTAAGGAGTTAGAACAAACAAATATTACTTAACATAACTATATTACATAGACATACAAAATATATATATATACAACAATCCCTACAAAATAGTTATTTCCTACCAAACAGGAGATTCCTTACCACCAGGATCCCTTCCTAGGCCTAACTAAACATGTCACTAATACCTGATACCCCTAGGGCATTGCAGAAGACTGGACAAGGCACTAGACAAGGGTCAAGGCTAGAGAACGAATGGACACGTCTACCATATGCCACGGTTTTTTGGTACTGGGGAAGCGTGGGGCACGCCGTGGAGGAGAGCGTCTCATATCACGTGATCCAGGACATTTGCTGGATAGTTTATATAATTAATTAATACTACTCTTGATTTGACTTAACAGAGTAAGACAATGATGCATATTAATAACATACATAAATATACAATTAACCTAAGTAACTAAGAACAATAATAATATAATAAGTACAATTAACAAGTTAATAGTTTGTGTGAAATGTAGGCGTAAACATGCCTCACGCTATGCGAGTTCCCGAGCGCTCAGGCACGTGACAGTACTATAAAACTATTGATTTAACTAATATTGTTGATATATTGCAAAAAAATAAAAAATAAACCCTTGCTGCTGTGCGGTTTGTTTACTAATGTCAGTGGTGCGGCAGCGCCATCTATTGAGGAATTGCTAAAGGTTGTCTGCTGGTCTCAAAGAGCAGGAATGTTTGTTTCTTTATACGTAGGCTCTCATATTTGGACACCCATTTCGACTGTAAAAACCTCGCAAAATTAAAATCTTCAAAATTTAAATACAACTTCCTATGGAGAAAATTAATTTGAGTCGGGTACTTTCGATGTTTGGCTAAATTTTGTCTTATTTACCCTACTTTTTGGGCGAATTACTACCTGTAATAAAGCAACATCCTAATAAACCAACAAAAATAAAACAGATAAAGTTAAATAAAAACTAAAAACAACACAGAAAAAGTTTTTGTTTTTTGTCTTCAGCTAGAGTTGAACCTGATGACTTGGCAACTTCGTCATCCAAGTAAAAACACACACAACAACATTGGCTGTCCTTATGTTTTTAACTTTACCACCACTGGTGGGTAGAATTTTTGTTTTAAATTCAGAAACATTAATTAAAATATATATGAACAGGACATAAGTGTTGCCTTCATATTCTTATGTAGAGTAATGATATGTTTTCACATGTACTCACTTACATATGCGATCTCATTTTTTTCTTTACCATTAATGGTTACCTGCTTCCATTGTTCCATTTATTAACATTGAATAACATTACAGTAATACCCTGCTTTACGCGGTTTCACTTTCCGCGATTTCGCATTTACGCGGTACCTCACCAGAACCGGACATTCACTTTACGAGATGCATCTACCCATATACGCGCAGTGTGTCTGGTGCGACGCTATTTTTAGATTCGACCTTCCCGCCTCCTGCTTGGGCAAGCCGCGCGGTAAGGTTGTGCAGTGGATGTCTCTGTTGCGTTATCAGTGACGTCATATGACGTATCGGACTGTGATTGGGCCATGCATCCCTACCTCCCTCCGCTGCTAGCTGTGATTGGTTTAAAGTAATATGACGTGTCCACCCGCGGGAGGGAGGAAAGACGACGCTTGACCTAGCCGCGTCAGTTTCACCCCTCCAGGCCATACCGTGTAAACCAGCATCCATTGTTCTGTAAAATGGCTTTCGCCGGACCACCGCCCCCAGAGAGAAACCTTGCCTTACCTGGACCCAACCGCCCTAAGCCAAAGAAGATACGACGTTCCCTAAGCAACGAAGTGAAATACAAGATCATTCAAGATTTGGAGAAATGAACACGTCAAACTGATCTCGCGCGCCAGCATGGAGTCAACGAATCTACGATTTGTACTATTAAGAAGGATGCAGCCAAGATCAAAGAACACATGAGAATCACAAAGTCTGCAGGTGCTTCAATGATCAAGTATTGCCAGAACAAGGTGCTGCTAAAGGTTGAAAATTTGCTGGTGAGTTACTTGATTCGTCAGGCGCGACGCAACATGGCGGTGGACACGCGATTCGTTCAAGAGTACGCCCGTGAACTGTACGCAGCAGTGTCACATAAGATGGGAATTGCAGAGCCCAAACCCTTCAATGCTTCCTCTGGTTGGCTGCATAGGTTTAAGAAGAGGAACAAGATCACCAACATCAACATTGGTGGTGAAGAAGCGAGTGCTGAACGTGCGGCGGCTAGAGATTTTCTTCCGTTCTTACGTGAGGTTATTGAGGAAGGACAGTACACCGATGACCAGGTGTTCAACATGGACGAATCCGGTCTATTTTGGAAAAAGCTGCCTACCAAGACCTTCGTTGTCCAGTCTGCCAGCAAGATTCGGGGCCGGAATTTGCAGAAGGAGCCAAATATTAAACGTCGAATTAAATACTCGCAAAATTTGAGAACCTACTGTAGACTGTAAAATCCTTGCAATATTCAAATCGTCCAAATTTAAATACAACTTCTGGTACTTTCGATGTTTGGCTAAGTTTTGCCTTCTTTACCCTACAGTACTTTTTGGGGTGAATTACTACCTGTAATAAAGCAACATCCTATTAAACCAGGATTTGAAGATGAATAAAATGCTTTTGACTGTTTTACTGGACATGCTATTTCGAGATTTACAGTTTTTTTTTATGTTTATTGTTTGCTTACCCAAAATTTTTATTCAACTGATTTTTTCGGAGTTGTTTTTTTACTTTTAATTTTTTGTTTTTAAATAAAGATTTTTTTATT